TACAGAGACACACGACTTCTTAATTTTACTACAGAGACACACGACTTCTTAAAACTTTGTTTCTTCTGTTTCCATGTTGCTGAAACAGTTTTAGAGTAAAACTCTGGCTCTGCTCTCACTGGTGAGTTCTCTTCTTTACTGGTTTGTGTGAGTAAAGCAAAGATTTGTGGGGAAAGACGGATTAATGTGTTTTTGCTCGTGTCTAGCAGGTGTGTGTCTGTCTGTTAGCAAAATATCTCACGAACCACTGGACTGATTTAAATTAAAGTGCAGGAAATAATCACAACTAATTAACTTTTGAAGTCAATCCAATTTAAAGTGTCTGCCACAGACAACTCTGAAAGATGACATGCATTTAAAAATAAATCACAGTCTGAAACACAAATATTTTTGGATCATCTGGTAAAATAGTTTAACTAAGACGTTCTTATCTGAGCAGATCAATCAAGAATTATTAGAAAAATATATCTAAAACACAAGTCTTGACCGTTTGTGGACAACAAGCTCAGCAGAAATCTAATCTCCGTTAAGTTTCCTGATGCTCCTTGTTCTGGCCCAGATCTGCGGTGCAGAGACGAAAAACATCCCTCAGATAGTTTCATCCCTCGTTTGGAGACGATGTGCAGAAATGCTAAATTAACCAAAATTGCACATGTGGCTGTTTATTTTGGCCTTAAACTCTCGTTCAGTCATTTTGGGGTGTTTCCTGAGTTTCAGTTTGCAAATATTCACAAATACTGTTTTATTAATGTAAATAAAAGTCTGGCGTTCCAGGAGCCTGCTTCCCAAGCCATCTGCCACACCTCCGGAGTATCTGTTGAGAATGATTCTCAGCTACTACCACACCAAATTACAGCACAATATCTGTAAAACCGATTGAGTTGTAGCCATTTGACTAATAAGAAATGTTTTAGGCAAAGGTCTTGAGAGCTCAATGTGTTTGCTGGGGTTCCCAACCCTGGTCCTTGAGGAACACCATCCTGCATGCTTTAGTTGTTTCTCTGCTCTGACACGCCTGGTTTTAATAAATGAGTGATTTACAGGCTTCATAATTAAATCACTGAATCAGGTGTTGGAGCAGGGAAACAACTAAAACATGCAGGATGGTGTTCCTCAAGGACCAGGGTTGGGAACCACTGACTGGTTACTTTTTAGGAGTTTTGTTCAGATCTGTTCAGTGGTTCATGAGATATTTTACTAACAGTACAGACGAACACACCCACTTACAGACATGAGCAAAAAACATTGTTACCTTAAAAAAAAAAATTTTTTTTTAAAGTTTATTTTCTGTGTCTCCTGCAGCTTTCTTCGATGATGAACCCCAGGAACCTGGGCAGGAAGAGATGTTAGCTGTGAGTCACTTCAACTCCTCTGCCTCCCCCCTCCTCCCTCAGCTGGCTGATGGCAGTGGAGGTTTGGTGGAAACCATAGTGACAGGTGTGGGGCAGCTGCAGCAGAAAAACGTTACGTCGGCACAGAGCCAGACCGGCGGCACCATCGTTGTCGTGCTGTTCATGTCGCTGGGCATCTTCTCCAACATTGTGGCTCTGTTCATCCTGGTCAATGCCTACTCTCTGCAGCGTAGGCGATCCAAAGCTACGTTCCTCTTGTTTGCCACTTCTCTGGTGATTACAGACTTCTTTGGCCACGTGATCCCCGGCGCCATGGTTCTGAGGCTCTACCTCATTGGAGGCGTGAGCCCTGAGGACTTCAGCTCCTCTGACGGTATGTGTCAGTTCCTTGGGGGCAGCATGGTGTTCTTCGGCCTCTGCCCACTCTTCATGGGCTGCGCCATGGCCGCAGAGCGATGCCTGGGCGTCACCAAACCGCTGCTGCACTCGTCCCTGGTCACCAAAACACGGACAAAGTTGTGCCTGTCTGTGATCTGGCTGGCAGCGCTGTGCGTGGCCCTGCTGCCCTGCTTCCAGCTCGGATCCTACACCTACCAGGAGCCCAGAACCTGGTGCTTCATCAATGTGCTCAGTGACACCAAGGAGGTGGACGTGGCCTTCGTGGCGCTGTTCTCTGGACTCGGGCTGACCTCTCTTGCCGTGGCGCTGGTGTGTAACACCGTCAGCGGACTGACGCTGGTGCTGGCCCGGATCAGAAGGCAGCCCGGCTCCCATCACTCAGCCAGGTCTCATGACATAGAGATGGTGGCGCAGCTGGTTGGCATCATGGTCACCTCATGTATTTGCTGGAGCCCTCTACTGGTAGGTGCAAGAAACTACACCAAACAGTAAATAAATAGCATCAGGTTTTATCGTCCACTGTCGAAGTTAGGAAAAGGAAACATCACTTTATGAAAGGTTTGATTAAAATCTGCTCACCAGTTCACAAGATATTTTGCTAACACATACACACTGTCAAAATTGGTGGAAGATGGGATCCGTAAATGAAGACTGAAATGGGAGCTCAGAACAAATATTAGGTTTAACTAGAAACTGCTATTTCTGCAAAATGCAGTTTGAGTGTTTGTTGCTGAAGGATTTAGCTGAAAGCTGCTGAACAAGCTAAAGCTTACCCGAAAGACTGCAATAGCTGAAAAGTAGAAAGAAGAAGCTGAAAGTAGCACTAAAAGCTAAAGTTATCGCAACAGCAGATGAAAAAAAGCTGGAATTAGCAGAAACAAGCTAAAGTTAGCAACAACAACAAAAAAGACTGAAAAGAGTGTAAAAAGCCTGAATTAGCAGATAAAAGCCCAAAGGAACACAAATGAGCTGAAATTAGATGAAAGAAGCTTATAGCACAAATCATCTAAAATTAGAAGAAAATTAGCTGAAAGTAGCAGAAAAAAGCAAAAAAGGCTGAAATTAGCAGACAGAAGCTGAAGCACAAAAACTGAAATATTCACACAGAAGCTGAAAAGAGCACATAAAAGCTAAAATTAGCTTAAAAGTAGCCAAACCCCTAAAATTAGCAGAGCAAAGTTCAAATGTAGTTGAGAAAGCAGAAAAAGACTTAAATTAGCCAAACAAAGCTGAAATTAGCAGAGAGAAGCTGAAAGAATTTTTAAAAGCTGAAAGAAGCTCAAAAAGGCTGGAATTAGAAGAAAGACGCTGCAAGGCGGGGGGGGGGGGGGGCTAAAAACAAGTAGAAAATGATGAAATGAGAAGCTAAAAGGAGTTTAATAAAGCTAAAGAAAGCAGAACCAGAACAAAAGGTTTTAAACAGCACAAAGACTTTAAAGCATGTGAAGAGAGCTCTATTTATTTTAATGAGGAAAGCATGGCTGAAAAAGCTTAATGTTTGAAAAAGCATAAAACTTACATGCCCAAAGTTGTAGCAGGGATGTGCTGAATGAGCTGAATGTTTTGATATATAAATGGGTAAAATAGCACAAAAACTATGGAATAAGTCAGATGCGGATGAACGGAAGAACAGATGATTTATAAACATTCACACAGTAAAAAAAAGAAAGAAAAGGCGCCGTGGCTGAAAATACAAAGTAACTGAAAACGTGAGGTGCACAAAGAAGACCTGCCAGTCTGTCTTCAACCAACTGGAGACAGACTGGAGGCAGGTTCTGATGGGAACGTGGCTTCGAGAGAGGCTAATGGATAACAAGGGCAGGTGTGAAGAAGATGGTGCATGGAGATGCTGAGAAATTAAACTCTCAAAAGAAAACAAAGAACAGCAATATGACAAACTACCACAACAACAACAAAACCCTTAAATCTAAAACAAAACACAAAAATCAGAATCCTGCTGCAGGCGAGGCCTTAATAAAGCATTAAGATGTGAAGTTGCTCGAGCTGTCACCCACTAAAACAAGAGCTTTCAGTGCTTTGAGCTTCTCCAGCTCATATTTCCAAGTAATTTTCTTGGTGAAACACTTAACACAAAAACACCTCATGCACTCATGTCAGTGACAGAAAGGGGTTTATATAATGAACTGAAAGTCCTGCCTGTGTCTTTTACTGTAAAATGTTCTAAGTGGTCCATGAGACCAGTAAAGCTCCTTCTGTGTAAGCTGTTGGCGAAGATGGCCGAGACTCTTTCAGTTTCATTAGCATCTGTAAAGTTTTTTTTTATTTTTTAGAGGAAATTACAACTTGAAAAGTAAGTGTTTGGCGTGTGGCTGCATCTAGGCAAAATAATGTTTCCTTTAGAAAATTGGGTTGAAATATCAAAATCCAACATGGCTGCCGCTATTAATGTCTGTCTGTGTTGTGATCATTAAAACTTGAAGAATAAGCAAATTGCCGACTTCCATTTTGGTGTGGATGCACTAAGCATGAGAAAGGTCACTATAAAAATTGGGTTGCCAAGTGAAAATCCAAGATGGCCACCATGTGTATAATATATAAGCTGGGACCACCCCTACCCTTCAAGGAAACCATGCTTTCTAGTTTTTATATTGCTTAAAAGTATAGTTTCCTCAAATGACTGGGGTGGCTAAAGATTTATATTTGGCCAAGGCCACCATTGGCCACCCCCTGACTCCACCATTGATCCTGTTAGATAAAACTGCTCGCTTAAAGTTAACTTGCATTCTCTGTTCAATTCCAGTACAGAAAAACACTCATCTCGAGAACTAGAAAAATTCACTCTTTAAATCCTCCAGTGACGGGGGACTTCGGCGCACCGCTTGTTTTCATTTGACGCTTTCTGCTTATTTGTACTTGTTAGGTAATTGCATTGTCCTGATTTGTTGTGGTTTGTTAGTTTATTGTGTTCAAAGTAATAAACGTTGAACTCAACACTGAACCAGGTTCACGGTTCTTCTCGTGCTTAAACAACTTTTCTTTTTTTTTTTTTTTATAGTTTAGAGCTGAGAAGCCACTAATTGCATCAGTTCTGGTCTGAAAATTTGCTGCTAGCTGGAAAAAAACAACTCAAGTCATTGGGGCCAGTGGGATAGCGTTTGTTGTATTAAATCCAGTGTGATGTTGATGTCTATAAGAATAAAAATACATTTTATTCAGTGTAAAATTATGGCTTCATAGTTAAATCAGCCTGGGAAATGATCTTAATGATGTGATCTGTCAACAAACTCCTGTTAGATCACGGCCTCACAGTAAATATCCAAAGACTAGAAGATCTTATAAACTCTAATTCAAGATCCAAACAACACAAATACAGTTTATTTCTCATTAGAGGAGGAGGTAATCTCGGTAGTTACTTTATATCCCTTTCTTCATACAAAGTATATTGAATGATAAACTATACCCTAGCAGGTTACACATACATGGGTTTTTTGCAGCTTATTGAAAGTCGTTTGGACTTTTTCCAGCTGAGCTCGTTCCAGAAGACAAAGCAAAGTCCACAATTCATCACTTATTATCACTCAGATATTAACAGCCGAGAGAAAACATGGTGTGCATGTATGAACCGAGGACAGACCTGCTGCGTTTATAATTTTGGAAAAATGCGTGAACTAAAGTGTCTGAGCACAAAAGCTCTGCCCTTAAAGTCAGTTTCAGTGATTGGCTCGTTATCCAGAGGCAAAGCAGTGATTGTGTTTTTGTGTGTTTGTTTGTAGCTTTAGTCAAATCTATTGTGAACTAGACGACAGATTTTCAGAAAGTAATCTCTTCATGTCTACAACTCAACTTTTGATGTCAACCCTGTTCATGACAGCTGTCATAGCAGATAAACTTTAGCTAATACAAACATGATTCTAAATCAACTAAACAAACAGAGAAAAGTTGGTGTGGTCGTAGCTGAGAGTTGTCCCCAACACACAATTCAAGGGCTAATGAGCTTACACATAAAAACTGAACCACAATGGCTACATCTCTGTCGTTTTTCATGATTGTAGCAGTAAAACGCTGATGTGTAAGGCAGCGGGCGATATGCATTTCTTCAAAAAATGATTTGCATTTAATTTAATGACAGAAGTCATTCTGTAAACATTTATTTATCCATCAAAATAAATAAACTTTGTAGTTTGACTTTCACGGACACTGTTTTGTCGGTTGATTTCACACGACACACGACTAGCTTATTGATGAAAGGCGACCAATCAGAGCATTGTGCTGAGGGGCAGACTGGCCATCGGGAGCACCGGGACATCTCCTGGTGGCCTGGCCCGCCCAGCGACCACAGATGGGATGGACCAAAGGCTCGACTCGGGCCGCGCTCGACCACTTCAAATAAACAATCCATGCTGCTCACTCAGGCATCTGCCCCACCAAAGCTCCCCGAGCAGCAGCGACAGGGAAAGACAGTCCCCACCCCCTCCCCTGAGACCGTCTGCCACAGCAGAGCAGAGACACATAACAGGCAAGTGCACAACCTGTTGTGTGTCTCTGCTTCGCCATGACAGACAGCCCCAGAAAGCCAAAGGAGGGGGCGGGGTGGGTCCGTCCCCCACCATCGAGGGAGGGAGCCCCAATGAGGTGGACACCTGAGCGAGTGGCATGGACTGTACATCCAAAACAATAAAGCACGATCCAAACCAAGCCACCGGTCCAGCCCCAAGGCAACTACCGAGCGGGCCAGGCCACCAGGAAATGTCCCGGTGCTCCCGATGGCCAGTCCGCCCCCGGGCGCTGATTGGCTCAGTAACCGTAGTATCAGTCTGTCTTCTCTCTTTTGCTGTGCTCTTTTAGAGCATTTAGAGAGTTTAGAACATGTTAAAAACATTGCAAGAGTGTGGGAAGGGTTAATAAAACCTTCAAATATATATAAATACTAAAATAAATATGATGTCCTTAATTCACAGATTTTCACCTATCGTGGGGGTGTCTGGAATGTCACCCCCACGATAAGTGAGAGACCACTGTAGTGTATACGTGTAGAACCGCTGTTAGTAATCGACTCATGTTTGGTCTAACCGTCAGATCAATACGGCTTTTAGTTTAAATTAGCTGGTATTAAATTTGTTGAGTCTGTTACTTGAACGCAAATTTATGCATTTTTGTTACAAACTTGAGCAAGAAATCACTTTTAGATCACCTAGAATCTGTGTTTGATGCAGGTGCAAGAAAACTTAGATACATTTTACATGTTTTAACTCTTTCAAATTATTATCATTATGTTATGTTTCTTTTTTTTTTTTTTTTTTTTACAGATCTTTGCTCTGGTGTCGGTGAAAAGACCCATAGGTGCAAACCCATCAAACTATCAGACCCTGATGCACATGGGAGTGAGGCTGGCCACATGGAACCAGATCCTCGACCCCTGGGTCTACATCCTGTTGCGCCGCACCGTGCTCGGCAAAATCTACCTCATAGTGAAGTGCCAGGCGGGCATGAGGGGAGGCGTGATAGGCCGCTGGGAGAAAAGCTCCTTCCCCAGCATGGACCAGAAGGAAGTCAGCAAAGTGTGAGCAGAAAGAGACGGACTCTGTGGACGTAGGTCGCTGAACAAAAGGATTCAAAGACTTTCAGAGAGCGGATTGAAAAGGGTCAAACTCTGAGGCGATGCAGCTTTTATTAGATAATTCTTGTCAGATGTGCATCATGGATTCATTCTGTCCTCTTTATCATCATAATCGACCAACAACATTGTCTGACCTGACAGAAGAAAGCTAGCTCATGCTTTGATTTTGCACAAAATATTACACATGCTAAGCAGTTTACTTGCAATAAGTGAACATTCCTTTATTATAATCACATTACGAAAGGATTAAAAAAAAATCTGAATGTAGCGTTGAACGCATTGTACCCTGAAACTTAAATGTTTGCAGAAGAGATATTTATGAACGGACTGAGTTGTTTAATTGTTTCTCCTAAAATAATTTCCCCCAGCTTTAAAAGTCAGATTTTGTAGTCAGCTGACCACAAGAGGGATCAGTGTTTGCTAATGTTAAGTATTCTGCTGAATGTAACTTATTAAAGGATGTTGATGTGTTTAAATGCTGGGGGAATTGTCTCTGTTTGTGTTTACATGTGTGAACTAATGTAAGATTTTACAGGTTACTACTTGAACGTATCCCTCAGTGTGCTGAGGATGTATAAACTGAATGTAAATAAAACAGCGCGATTTTAAAAGGTCGTATTTTCTATTTCGTTTGTGGTTTTTGACTGTTACGCCGACAGTTTAAATATTTTTAGTGAATCTGGAAAGAGCTTAAAAGGATCGTTTGAATCTTTTAAACTTGACTTTTGTTGAAAGGTTATGAACAATAAATATCTTACCTGTTCTGGATGGCTCCATTTACAACCTCAATTTGGAGAAATAAAGTTGATTTCTGCCTTGAATGACAAGCTGACGACTAATCTGAGTTAGGTCAATCCCAAAGGGGGTTTCTGTCGGCCTAAAACAATTCCAAAAAAAAAAAAAGCAAAGTCTATTTCATAAACCTCTATCAGTTTTGCATTACAAGATTATTTAAGCAGAAATATTATTAAATTCCTGTCGAAAGTGCACCACCATGCACCATAAGGGCTATGGCTATGAATAAATATTGCCATCACTAACTGTGCTGGTGAATAAAAAACAATACGTTTCTATGTAAATACTGATAACTGTGTAATATGAAACTGAGTCTAATGCAGATGTTTATAATGTTAGCGTTATTATCTATATTCTTTTTAGATTCAAGTTTTATTAAGACAACAGCAATCCACTATAGTGTGTGTCCAACTCATGGACGTCGATAAAGATGGACGACGTGTGCCTCCGCCTTTTCCAGATGTTCAGAATTGAAGACAAAATGAGTGTTTTTGTCTCCGTTTTCAGTAGATTGGTCCCCAGAATGATGACAAGAACGAAGAGCTGGAATAAAATAAAACTTTATTTTATTAATAAACAACACAAAATGCTGTTGTGGCAACAAAAACTTGCCAAATAAACAAAGATGCAGACACAGGGAGGCACAAGGAGATAAGAAAAAACACAAGAGGAACTGGACGCGGCGTCAGAAAACAATGATCAGCTGCGGATGAATGACAACTGAGGGACTAAATATACAGGGGCTGATGAGTGGAGCAGCTTGCTAACAGTTTGTCAGTCACATGTCGTGTCATGTCATGACTCTTTTCTGTAAGCTAATCAAACTAAACATTTTTTTTGGGGGGGGGGGGGGGGGCGCATATTTGAACTCACAGCAGTAAGAGAAAATCTGCATGAACTTTGGGTCACGGGGGTCGCTGGTGCCCATGTCCAGCAATACCAGCAAAAACCTAAAAACTGATATGAAATGTATTTTTTAATTTTAAACTGGAAAATGTTCCATTTGTTTAGACGGTTGGGACTTTCTTTACTGCAGCCAGCCACTAGGAGGCACAAGTCCTTTGTGGCTTCAACTTCCAGCTTATGGTCATCTCTCTATAGTTTATTTAAATGTTGCAGCCCAGACAGCTCAGCTTTATTTATATAGCACCTTTCACATGGAATGACTCAAAATGCCTAGCAAAGCAGATAAAAATAGGTCCATCCATCCATTATCTTTTTACCCGCTTCTTCCTTTTGGGGTCACAGGGGTCACTGGTGCCCAGATCCAGCAGTCACTGTGCAAGAGGCGGGGGACACCCTGGACAGGTCACAAGTCTACAGGGCCGATAAAAATAGGTATGAAATAAAAAATATCAATAAAAACGAGACTGTTATAAACTTATACTATAAAATAAATGAATATTAATTAAAAAATCAGAATTAAAAACAAAGCATACGAGTACATGGTTAATAATAAAACAAGTAACACATAAGCTGCTCTGATTAAAAGCTGCATCATGTGCTAAGATAAGCTATTTCCACAATTTTTTGTTTAGTTTGGAACGCTGGTGCCCCAAACATTAGAAAAAAAATCAAGGAACTACTAAAAGACCTTCATGCTGAGAGCAAACGCTGGGATGTAGGGGACAATTTGGGGCTTTATGATATGAAACTAGGACCTTCGGGTTTTGTATGGGATGAAATGGATTTTAATTTTAACTTTATTTTTCATTCTCCCTTTATTTATACAGGTAGTCTCATTGAGCCACGAGAACTCATTTTCCTTGCTCAGAGGCCCAGAATGGGGCGAATGAAGGTGGAGAGATTTTGATGTTGACGGTACTGGGAGTTGAACCTGTGACTTTCCGATCACAGGCCCATCTTCTAACCTCTGCGCCACCACTCCCCCAATCAAATCAAACACAAAATATAGGTAATATATGCAAGAAGAGAAGAAATGTAATTTCATATGTCATCTCTCCAGCCACAGTGGCACAGTGGCACAGTTAGTAGAGCTGCTGCCTCTCCACCGGTTCAGATCCTGGCCTGGGATCTTTCTGGGTGAAGTTTGCATGCTCTCTCCATTCATGTGTGGGTTTTCTCCGTGAACTCTGGTTTCCTCCCACAGACCAAAAACATGCATGTTAGGATGATTGGGAACTCTAAATTGTCCAGGTGTGAGTGAGAGAGCGAACGGTTGTTTGTCTCGTGTCCCAGTGAAGGACTTCTGACCTGTCCAGGGTGTCCCCCCCGCCTCACTCACAGTGATAGCTGGATATGGGCACCAGTGACCCCCACAACTTTTTTTATTTTCCAAACCTGAGCCCTTCAAAGAACTATCTATCTACAACAGGTGAGATTTTACTTGGTCATCAACTTTCCACAGAACTTTAAAAGATCTGAACTATCCCTTTAAAGAGCAGCGTGTGTTTGAGATTAATGTCATTTTTTCATAGCCCTCTGTGTTTTCTAAAAGATGCTTTGGTTTCATTGTTATTCATTTTTCCTCTGAGGGCGGAGTGATCTGCAGCCTGCTGAGTCATGCTGCGCTTCACGTACAACAAATAATGACAACTCAAGAAGGATTATCCACAAAGGTTATGACGATAATAACTAAACAAGTACCAAACGCAGACGAGAATGTTTTGATTCAGGCTTGATTCAGTTTCTGTGTCATAAATATAATTAACATTTAGCACAGCAGTAAGTTGTAAGGGAGATATGCTGCCTCAATGAAATAATATTGATCCGAGTCTTTTCTCCTCCGTGGCATTATTTTTTTACTGGAACAGATTTGTCCTGTAATTCAAAAGATCTGCACAATCTTTCTGTCATCAGTGAGTTCCAGGTGATGAGAGGAATTTAATTAAGAACAACCCTAAAACCCCTTTATCCAGTTACTGAACAACCTACAAATTTTCCTGTCGTAGAAAAGGAGCAAGCCAACAGCAGTGATAAAGTGTATAAAAAGAGTGAACATCTACACTTTGCTTCTTGACTGACTTCCATCAGCTGAACATGTCTTGGTGTTCCTGCTCTGACAGTATCATCTCCATCTTCGACCACTTTGAACGTCTTCAGGTAACAGAGGAAACAGGTCGAGGGGAGAAATCCAGGCATCCCTCTCCCCGGCAACACTCTAGCTCCACCTGGAGGACCCCAAGACGTCCCCAGGTCAGCGAGAATATACAGGTACACTCTCTTCCACGAGTTCAGGGTCTGTCCCAAGACCTCTTACAAGTGGGACATAGAAGTGGGACATGCCTGAAAAACGTCCAAAACGGGACATCCAAGAGGAATCTTAATCAGATGTCAAATGGACAGCACTTATCGCACAGTCCATAGCGCTTTTCTATCTTATCAAAATACTCAAAGCGCAAATGACTTTTCAATGCGGAGGAGCAATGGCTCTGCTTCGAGCCGTTCCCATCAGAGCTCCTCACCTGATCTCGGCTTAGCCCGGCCATCTGAAGGAAGATCATTTCAGCCACTTTTATCCAAGCTCTCTTTCTTAAGACCATAGGTGAGGGTTGAAATGTTTATAGACCAGTAAATTAAGAGCTTTGCCTTTTTACTCAACTCTTGCTCTTCACCACTATCAACCACAGCAACGCTCTCATTACTGAGGATGAGGCCCCAATCCGTCGATCCCTCTCTCACGCCATCCTTCTATCACTCGTGAACAAGGTGCTCAGATCCAGAAATCCTCCTTTTTAGGTAAAGACGTCACCCTGAGGGGGCATTTGTATGGAGCTTGTGTGACTTCTTTTGAGACTGATTTATCTCCATACATTCCACCTGTTTCCGGTTGAGAACCATGGTCCCAGACAGAGGAGTTGACTCGCCAGCCACTTCATACTCTGCTGTGAATCCTGACTATCTATTTAGTGCTTCATGGACCGCCATGTTGTCAAATGCATATGTAATGTGTTCATAAATGTGCTTGCTGGCAGAGTTTTTTGAAGTCTTAAATCGTGTCCTGTTAGGACAAGGTGTGAAGAGGTCTTTTTTGTAATGCCACTACTCTCTCCTCATGGCTTTGTCCCTTTTTCTATTCGAAAAATGTATTCTGTAAAGGATAAGAAGGCAGCATTTATAACAGCAGCTTCGTGCACTCCACCCATCTTTCGGACGACTGTATGGACATATTCTCGTTGTGTCTCGGTGCAATGATAATAAAGCTTATTCTGATTCTGAAAGTCGTGGCCCGAGACACTCCCTAAAGCTAGTTTATGCCAGGAATCAGCATGGACAGTATATATTCAGACTATATGCATGCTCAATAATCCAGGTAGAAAAATCTAAAAAAAAAAAGTTAAGTCAACTTTTTTAGATATATTCAGACAGTAAAAATCCAACTGTTTTGGACTTTTTAAAAAAATTTTCCCCCACTTTTATTCTTGAGATTTCGCAGACACTATATAATCATATAAGTGCCCTCCTGCATTTATTACCAAGGCTGATGTGTAAAGATAAATCTAATAGAACAACTATAGATCTCTGTCTTATGTTTTTGGCTCCAGAGTCTGCGCACAAAGGATGGGGAGCTGAAAGTCCCGCCCTATGGTCCCGCAGAGGAGGAGCGCTCCGGAGCAGCAGGGGGCGCTACTGAACACATACGGTCCGGCTACTGCTGCAACACAGGAAGGAGGATAAACAAGATTCTACTCTCTCGAGGACATTAAGGTGATACCATCTAAAAAAACGTTAAGAAAGAGTGGCAACGCTCTCATAAAAGTCTACAACTGTTAATTTGTTCTGTGAGAAAGGTAAGCCGTGATAACTTCACTGAAACGCGACACATTTGAGCGGTCGTAGCTCGTGCTAGCTAGTTGATGAACATCACGCTAACGTTCAGAGGGTCCTAGTTATTGGTTTATAGATTAATTAAACCACCGCCATTCGGTATATAAATAGCTCAAGCATTCGTGCACGAGTAAATAATTTGCAACTAACGGCCAGCATCCTTTCTGCGCAAGATGTTTATATTCGTCGCATATATGTGACGCATGTTTATCTGTTAGCCGTTAACGTTGACAACCGGCGCGCACTGAATGATTTGATTTTCCTTGCCTATTTTATCCCACTTTGTACTTCTGAATAATACGTTTCGTTTGACACAACAGGAGGCCTCGAAAGGGCAGTCTTGACGAGATGGCGACGATGGCGTGGGACGAAGAGCAGGCCTACGAGGAGCTGCTGTACTGGGACAGTTTGATCCAGCAGGGCAGCCATCTCGTTCCTGGGGATGAGGCCAGGTACTGTACTGAAAGCGTGCACTTTGTTTTTCTTCATGCACACTAAACGATAAGTAGTGAAAAGCAAGCATACTGTTTATCTTGCACCTTTTCATGTGGACATGCATTGCACTTTATGGAAGTCCATACAAGAAGGAAGTACTAATTTGCTTCATAAGCTAAAAGTATCTGCATGCATCTCATTAGTGAAGATAACATACATTTCTTAATGTGTAAACAAAACGATGCCAGAACGCAAATAGTGGCGAGGGAGGGAGGATCTGGAGATCCTACCCCAGACAATTTTGAATTTTCATTCATTTAACCTTTATTTATACAGGTTAGTCTCATTGAGTCACGAGGACTCATTTACAAGAGAGATCTGTTTTAAACAAAAAAAACACAGATGAGGTACACGCAACACGCCTAGTCTGTATAGGTCCAGATTACCTGACTGAAAATTGTTGGATTGTATACCTGGATTATTGAGCATGGACTGTTTTGGCCTATTCTGTATAGTTTACCCAACATTCACGAACAAGGTGTACCTTTTAAGATCATTAGCATGATTAACTCTGTAACTTACGTTTCCAAATATCTGGTGTCTGTACTCATCCCTTTAGTTGGCAGCTCAGAACACCACATACAGAACACGTATAAGGTGAGGGATGTCATCATGGAGACTGATGAAACAATGGTCTCTTTTGATGTCACATCACTCTTTATGTGCATTCCTGTTGATGATGCAGTAGAGGTGGTCAGTTTAAGATTTAAATCAGACACCACTCAGCAGTGGGACCACGCTTTCCACAGAGCAACTGTACCAACTTTTGAAACTGTAATATGCAATGCAGTGTTATAGACAGAAATATGGGTGCACTATGGGGTCTCCAATTTCTTCTTCTGTTGCCAACCTGTACATGGAGGAGGTAGAAAAGAGAGCCTTGGCGTCCTTTTCAGGGACACCACCGAGTCATTGGTTCAGGTATGTTGATGACACCTGGGTTAAAATTAAAAACATTTCACTGATCACATCAACTCTGTGGATAAATACATAAAGTTAACATGAGAAGATGTAAAAAATGGCAGGTTGGCTTTCTTGAACTGTAATGTCAGTCTCTGATGGAGGACATTTGTAAACTGAGGTGTACCGCAAACCCACCCACACAGACCAGTATTTGCAGTTTGACTCCCATCACCCTTTGAAGCATAAGTTGGGAGTCATTAGGGCTCTGTACCACAGAGCAGACATGCTGGTGAAGATTCTCAGTCATCCAGGACATGATGAATTCAAAAAACGTTCAATACAAAAACAACTGGACTTTATTTGTAACAGAAGACGTTTCGCTCCTCATCCGAGGAGCTTTCTCAATTCAAAGAGCAGAGAGTGAGAGATTCAGGTTATAAGGCTGAGTGAGATAAGACACACACACACATATGTAGATTGGCAGTTCACACCTAAACACCTTAACAGTAGGTTTTTGTTCCTCTAATTCACGGATGAGGCCCCTCTGTTCCCATCAAGTGTGAAAACCGGCTGGGAATCTGTTTTAAAGTTGCGTTATATGTTTTGAAAGTGGAAATCTGAGGCCTCCTCCTCTGTTAAGAGACGGCTTTTCTCTTTTTACATAAATTGCTTCCTTCACCCCCCTCTCAAGCCATCTGTGTTCTTGGTCCAAAATGTGCACATTTTGGTCCTCAAAAGAGTGTCCCTTATCTGTGAGGTGGAGGTGAACAGCTGAATCTTGTCCAGAGGAGGTGGCTTTCCTGTGTTGAGCCATGCGTCTGTGAAGAGGCTGTTTAGTTTCTCCAATGTAGAGGTCTGGACAGTCCTCGCTGCACTGGACCGCATACACTACACCACTCTGTTTGTGTATGGGTGTTTTGTCCTTAGGGTGGACCAGCCTCTGTCTGAGAGTCCTGCTGGGTTTGAAATGTACTGGGAGCTTGTGTTTTGTTGAAAATCCTTCTGAATTTCTCTGATACTCCAGCAACATAAGGGATGACAATGTTTTTCCGTCTGTTGTTCTCCTTTTTCAGTTTATTGATGTGTTTTGTAGATTTCCTCGCTGACTTGACAAAAGCCCAGTTAGGTTATCCACATGTTCGAAGAGCTTCTTGAATGTGTTTCTGTTCCTTTTCCTTCCCTTCTGTCTTCGTGGGGACGCATTTGGCCCGATGTTGTAAAGTTCTGATGACAGAGAGTTTGTGTTCCAGTGGATGGTGGGAGTCAAACAGAAGATACTGGTCTCTGTGGGTTGGTTTTCTGTAAACTTCAATGTTGAGGTTGTCCTCTCTTTCCATCTGAACCAAACAGTCCAAAAAAGGCAGTTTGTTGTCGTTTGCATCCTCTCTGGTGAACTTGATGTTGTTATCGACCGAGTTAATGTGTCTGGTGAACGCTTCTATTTCCTTAGCTTGGATTTTGACCCAAGTGTCATCCACATATCGGAACCAATGGCTTGGCTTTGTTCCCTGTTTAGGGCTCTCTGTTCCACTTCCTCCATGTAGAGATTGGCAACAATGGGTGACACTGGAGATCCCATGGCACAGCCGTGCTTCTGTCTGTAAAAACTGTCATTGAACTTGAAATAAGTGGTGGAGAGGCAGAGATCCAACAGGGTGCAGATCTGGTCTGGGGTGAAGTTGGTCCTGTTGATTAAGTCCTTGTCTTGTAGAAGTTGTTTTCTGACGATTTCTACTGCTTCAGAGATGGGTATGCAAGTGAAAAGAGGTCACATCATACAATACAAGGGTTTCTCCTGGGGTTAGTTTCAAGTGTTGAACTTTGTTAGCAAAATCAATGGAGTTCTTTATGTGATGAGGTGTGTTTCCAACAAGAGGAGCTAAAATACCAGCCAGATGTTTAGCAATATTGTATGTCACTGAGTCCATGCTGCTGACGATGGGTCTGAGTGGTGTTCCTTCTTCATGGATTTTTGGAAGTCCATAAAGACAAGGAGTGGCTTCCCCTGGGTACAGTCAGAGCAGACAGCGTCCCCACTAACTCAGGAGCCAGGCAGAAGGAGAAATCCCACACAAGACAGGCTCTAGAGCAATGTGGATATCCTAACTGGGCCTTCCTGAAAGCAGAGAAGAAACCCAAACAGGACTCCAGTCAGCCAACAGGTGAAAAGGAGGAACCCAGACCAGTGGTCATTCCGTATGTTGAGGGAGTATCAGAGAAACTGAGACGTTTATTTTCTAAACACAACGTCCCATCCATCCATCCATTATCTTTACCCGTTTATTTCATTTTGGGTCACGGGGGTCGCTGGTGCCCATGTCCAGCAATCACTGTGCGAGGGGCGGGGTACACCCTGGACAGGTCGCAAGTCCATCACAGGGCCACATAGAGACAAACGAGGCAAACAACCATTCACTCTCTCACTCACACCTAGGGACAATTTAGAGTTACCAATCAGCCTAACATGCATGTTTTTGGTCTGTGGGAGGAAACCGGAGTACCCGGAGAAAACCCACGCATGCACGGAGAGAACATGCAAACTCCACCCAGAAGGCCCCTGGACTGGGGTTTGAACCAGGGACCTGCTCGCTGAGAGGCAGCAGCTCTACCAGTTGCGCCACCGTGCTGCCCAGATCTAAGATATGAACTAAGAAAAATGTTAAAGTAAAAATACGCTAAGCACTAGTAGTACAAAAACAATACGCCGAACAGCAGCGCGAACATGAGTCTGTGAACAGATGAGTACAAATGAACACAGCAGCATGAAATAAATCAGCAGCACATGTACACATCTTTGATGGAGAGGAACGATGGTTTAAGAGAGGAGTGAAAAAAGCCATCTTTTTGAAAAGAAACCGTCCATCATTAAATGGGTGGAGGCATCCGTGTTCAACTGTCCCCCTCTTACAATGCTGTTATTGCTAGTATCGCTCAGCCCTCTGTGAATAGTAAACAGCCATCAGGGCACTAACGACCAGTTGTTAGGCTAATGGGTGAGTGGTGGTGCAGAGGTTAGAACATGGGCCTGTGTTCGGAAAGTCACAAGTTCAACTCCCCGGACAGACATCAAAATGTGGGTGGAAAATATGAAACACCCACACCTGCCTCCACCTTCATTTGCCCCACTCTGGGCCCTTGAGCAAGGCCCTTAACCCCCACCATCTGCTCTCAACAACAGGTCTCTCTTGAAAATGTGTTCTCGTGACTCAATGAGACTACCTCTATAAATAAAGGGTAAATAAAATAATGGTCCTCCTTTATCATGTGAACAGCTAGTTCTGGATGTCAACAACAAACTGGCTGATCCACTATGAGAAGGTGCTATTTATAAGACTGAGTTTATTGCAGCGCCTTGAACTGAATAAGTTTTGTAGATAAAAGACGAAACGTTTCAACAAGGTTTTAATTTAATTTTTTTTATTGTTTATCTTTTTAACATCTGTCCAGAGGACCTGACTTTGTTAGATTTTTTTCTACCTGGATTATTGAGCATGCATCGGGATAACCTTGTTTTAACATTCTGTCTGTTTAGATACGAGGAGTTGCGTCATTGGTACAACTGCCTGTTTTACGAGGAGGAGCTGAGGCAGTACCATGACTACATTGCTTCTTGTGAAAATATGGAGGATCATCAGCAAAACGAGGTTTTTATTTCACCTTTTTGTTAACACTTGTAATCTTCAGTGCTGTGCAGGTGTTGAACAACCATTCCTTTGACATCGTAATGTTTAGTAATCATTCAAAGTGGCCTTGGCCAGCAGTGTGTTTTAATTTTTAGGTTACTTTACCCACATTAAGCACAACACTACCAATCTTTATTGGGAAACAAACATTTAACTTGTTTAATAAATGTAGCTTGGAGGGACCCCTTTATGATTTGTAACAAATGTGATTTTATGCAGAAGTAAATTTGTGTATGCGATTGTAAATTTTTTTGAAATGTGAAAAATTCCGTTTTTATTTATTTAGGAGGAAAATCAGTCAAATGGTTTAACAAATTTTGTTTCTTTTTTTTTTTTTCTTACAGGAGACTGCACAGCTGTCTGAAGAAGATTTGAAAAAAGTGAGTTGATCCCATTTGTATAGACTTCAAAGTTTCCCAGCATCAGACATCGATCTGGCTGTTCAGCTGGTATCAAACATTTGTTTGGTAACAGATTGAGGAGAAAACCTTGGTGGGTGACCTGCACCTCAATTAATCTTCTGTGTTTTTCTTATTTCCCTGATGTGTCCTTCCATCTTTGTCTCTGTTAACCACAGTAAAGGAAGTCCAGAGTAGAAACAAGAGAGTTATTTTTGTAAGTTCAGCTGAGTGAAGAAAAGAGAAGCAGTTAAAGAAAGTTGATAAGTGACTTTGTACCTTTTAGAAGAATCGCTCCAGTTTACGTGTCGCCTGACTCCTGACACTGCAGGACAGCATCACCAACCTCTGGTTACCTTGGATGAAATACTGACCACAGTTTTTCAATGAGATTTAAACACCCTACTTCCTCCTCCTCGTAGTTCTGCTCAGGTCTGATTGGCCTTTAGTAAGAACCCAGACTAATCAATAATCAGCCACCAAGCTTTGATCCAGTAAGGTGAGAAAAGAGACTTCTTGAGTCTGAGTTCCAGCTGATGCTAATTTAACACACGGTTTTATCAAAATAACCCAACAGTCTAGCAGAACTCTTAATGACCAAAATCTCAAAATTAAAAGACTTTTCCAAATTAATCTAAATCATTTTTATTCTTGTGCAAGTAAATCCTAAATCTACCGCCTGTCCAAAGGATTCTTTAGATTGAGATAAACTGATAATCACTATTTTACTTTAGATCATTCAAGGATTATTTGTCACTTCATTTTATCTGGGTTTTTTTTGTGTGTGTGTGTTTTTGTTTGATTGTTCTTGTATTTTTACTTTTTCAATCAAGGCAGCACTTGAGAAGGTTCCCGGGCCACACGATTACGTCATAATGGCCAAACACTCGGAGGTGTACCCCTCTGCAAAGGAGATGGAGGTTGTGCAGACAATGGTTTCCCACGTAGAGTGTGCTCTCAAGAGTGTTTCTGACCAGATGGATGCCCCAAAAAATGACAGTGGAGCTGCAGAGGCTGAGCGGTAAGAAGCATAACCAGCTGGTCCGAGTTAGTTTGTGTGTTTAAATGCCTGGCAAACAAAATAACGTAGGGCTGAACGATTTTGGAAAATATTCCAATTGCGATTATTATTATTTTTTTACCTCAATGTTGCGATTTAATATGCAATTATTTTTCAATATCTTCTCGTCTATTTTTCAACAAACACAAGCAATAAATCTCATATCGTCATCTTTAAAATATGCTTTTATTTCGAAATTCCCAAGGCACGTCTGTGTCATCATTTCCGTGCGTGGCTGTGCTCTGCGGCCGCCTCAGCAACATGGCAGACGTGGCAGAAAACAGAAAATGAAATTCACTCTCCTGCTGGACTTAAATCAACTCTGTGGAAATAGTTTTGATTCCAACAGAAGAACGGCTCAACAGACAAAACTCATGTCGTATGCAACAGGTGCCAGTGTGAGTTCAAATACTCGAGAAACACAACAAATCTGGCCGTTCACCTGAAGAAGAAACACGGCATTGATAGCCATGTTATGTAAGCTCAATGTCTATTTGTGTTTCTTTATAACTGAAAGGTAATCAGGACTCTTTTAAGTTAACTGGTTTAAAAAATGCACTTAAACATGAGAAATGTGAGATTATACTGAGCAGGTCATTTTTATTTTTTTCATTAAGAAAAAAACATTTTTTATTTAAGTGCCTGAAATAACAGAAATAAAATGGTTAAATCATATTTGAATTGTTTTTGTAAATGTATTTATATGTAAATGAGATGGACATTTGATATCGCAATATATCGATCGCAGACTTGTGAATCGAATAGAATCGAAATCGTATCGTGACAGACTCTGTGATATCAAGAAAAATTGTATCTTCATACAAACAAATCAATATGATGTCATATCGTGGTGAAGCTGGTGGTTTACACCCCTAGTAACCAGATCACGTGACCAGTCAAATCACAGCCTTTGCGATTAGAAATTCTTGTTTCATTATATCGCAATATTATCGCAAATGCAGTTAGTTGTTCAGCCCTACCAAGAACACAGTTCTGTGTGCATGGACATGAAAATAAGATATGACATAGTATATGTTAAGAAGTTAGAAGTTAAATATCTTTGCACTGACTGGACAAGATGATTTGAAATATGACGATTGAGTCATTCTCTCAACTCAGATACTTACTCATCTTTGGGAGCTTTAGATTTTCTTATCATTTCACTTAAAACAAGAATTAAGAGAATGTCTTTCCTTGGAAGAATAGTGTTTTATTTTTCCACACGCTACAGTTCCCAGAAGCACTGATTATTTTTTTTTAATTCAGTGCTTCAGCACTGAAAGACATTTCATATGCTCTTTTTTTCCTGTTCTTTGTCCTGTTAATACAAGTAGTGAAGAGCGTATCTTGCGTGGAGTTGTGAGGATTGGCCAGGTCGCCAAAGGACTTCTACTGAAAGGAGACGAGAAGCTGGAACTGGTGTTACTTTCTTTCAACTGGCCTACAAGCTCTCTGCTTAAACAAGTGGCTGAAAAGTTAACAGAACAACTGGAGGTAGACATGAATCCCTGCTGCTGCATTGTGGCATAATAAAATATATATGTCTTTGTTTTTATCTTTGTTTTCCTAATTTTTTTAATCATTTTAATAGATAATTTCTGCTGGAACCTATGAAGTAACCCCAACTCCTGAGGATGCCACTATTGTTGTGAAACGTACCGAGATCTCAGTGCCGACTCTTTTCATCCACCTGACCTCTCCTTGTGTCAGGACGAATGAGATGAGCTCCACAGCAGAGACAGGAGGTGAGTATATTGGTCCAGTTTCCAGTCGTACCTCGGCTCTCTGAGGCCTGCTCTCTGTGCTCTGTGCTCAACAACCAGTTGAACTGGGCGTCTCTTTCTCGACAGTCTTGGCATCGTTTTGAGATGCACTGGTCGCTACATTTTCCTCTGTAGCTACTGATCTATTCTGTTCACATTGTTAATGACAGTACTTTGGTCAAATTTATTTATCTTTCTGTTTTTGTTGTTTTTCTGTTAAAAGTCAACAATCTTTTAGACGTAACTGGTCAAAGCTCGCATTGCATTGTTGGTGCACATGTACATTCGGACCCTGTTGCTGCAAAACTGATGGACAAGAAAGACATTTTTCTGGGTTTGGGAGAATTTCAGTTTGACAGACAAAAAAACGTTGGATTTTAAAAATTATAAATCAGTTTGTTAAATAGTGTAATTTCTGGACTATTGAGCGCACCTGAATATAAGCCACGCCCCCTAAGTTTAAAAAGAAAATTTGTACATGTACAGTAAAGGCCGCACTTGTCTATAAGCTACGGATGTCCATGTAACATGAGATATTTACACAGAAAGATTTTTTTAAAACTTTTAATTAAATACGTACTGGTAACATACACAAATACGTACAATAAATGTTTTTGTTCTGAACAGTGCTTGTAACACGGTTGGTTAAAAACAATAAAATACAGTAACCTTCCAGGAAGTCGATCGCTATCTTCCTCCTGCGCACTGCACACTTGAGCTTGTTCTGTCCTCCATCTCACAGCTGCCTTTTGAAACCTGTTGGTGATAAAAGTTTTTTTTATTGCTCTGCTGTCAGAATCCACTGGCAGACTTGAGCAAAAGTTGCTCTTCGCATGAGCCAGTTTTGGTAAATGATTTCTTGCCACTAGTCATCCAAACCTCCTATTTAGCTCGGAGTGTCATTTTAAATGCATGATTCATACTTATTTATAGTGGCTGTAAATACTTTGTTGTGCACCAAGGGAGGGGAGGAGAGAACAGGGAAGGGGGAAACAAAGTGGAAATTAAAGTTCCCAAATTAACCAATTTTCCTTGGTCTGGTTTTTTTTTTTTTTTTTTTTTTTTTTTTCCTTGGTCTGTTGTGACCTGTCCAGTAATTTCACAGGTCAAATAAAATAAAAAAAAACCTTTTTATTTATACAGGTAGTCTCGCATTGACCCACCCCCCAAGAGCGTCGTGTATTGGGCAGATATGTGAGCGCCCGGGTGTGACTAGGTTAAATGTTTTGCTGGCATAAAGCTTGTTAGCCCATCAAAAAAAAAAAAAAAATCCATAAATTAGCCTCAGCATTGTACAAGCCGCAGTGTTCAAAGTGTGTGAAAAGAGTAGTGGCTTGTAGTCTGGGTATTACGGTAAATGTTGCACTCTTGCAATATTTTAAACAATGTTTCTAAACGCTCTAAAAGAGCACAGCATGTCATGATCTCCACTCTCTTGCCACCTGCCAGCGCCCTCGGCCACGCCCACTTCTCCACTGCAGAAGCCTCTCCTGCAGCTGTGGGCTGCGCACAGGTGCAGCAGGTGCTAAATTATTTAAAACCATTTATTTTAAATTTAAACAATCCATGCCGATCGTGCGGCTCATCTATCAGTAGCAATGTTTACATGTGCAAAATTCTTTGATCGGATTGAAATGTATTTGGATTAAATAATCCGAATGTATCGCTTACATGGGCGCAATCCATTCATGACAAGCGTTTACATGCAGCATACTTTTATTCAGAATAGAAGTATTGACATACGCAGAGTGGTAAACTTTCCTTAAAAAACCGTAGAAGAAGTTCTACTTCCGGGATGAACGTAAACAAACCTGAGCGCACAAAATGGACCCGCGCCAGGTTTTAATGGCGGTGGAGACGTTACTGCACTCCCTGACTGAGCTACAGGTGATACAGATCATTTTGAGCTCTTTCAAAGTTTCTAGTAGAAATGTTGTGTCATTCACTGACACGTTTTGCTTCCCCGACATATTGGCATCTGACCAGGTGGAAATAACGTGAGGTTGACATAGGTCACATATGCAGTCGAGTCAGTTTTCCACCGTCGGAATAAAATGATCAGATTAAGTGTTTACATGCACACCATTTGGATTATGAATCGGCATAAACCCACCCCTCTCATTCGATTTACAAATTCATTCGGATCGAGCTGAATCAGCTCAGAATAATCCGAATGGGGCGTTTACATGACGCATTTTTATTCCGAATGGCCGTTTAACCCGATTACTTATGTCCATGTAAACGTGGCTATTCAGCCGATTGTGTGTCATGTCCAGTCTTACGTTGAAAAACTACGAAAGAACAAGTCCATGAAAGTCGAACCAAGAAGTAGCGAGGGACTACTGTATTTCTAACCTTTTCCAAATGAATTTGACGCATAACTTTTCTTATCCTGTGTTCATATGCCGGGGGATGCAGCTCCTTCCATCTGAATAAAATAAGTCTGGCTAGAAGAGAGCCAAAAGCAATCCTATTCCTCTCGTACTTGCTAAAGGATGCATCCACAAGAACCACCCCAAAAAGTCAAATGAATGGTGACGGCCGGGTACACAGTTTTTCCACGTATCCCAGATAAAGTATCAAAAATAGATTGCCAATAGCCCCACAGCTTTGGACAAGTCCAGAATGTGTGTAGTAAGCACTTAGCTGGGGTTTGTTTACAGCGGTTACATGCAGGATCCAGGTCAGTTTTAATTTTGGACATATTGTCTTTGGACCAATGCAGACAGTGCACCACCTTGAAGTGAATTACAGTACGAGGATAAATAAATGTTCTGAATGATCTTTCGCTGGACTGAGTCTGAGATATATTCCTCCAAGTCCATTTCCCATTTCAGTTTTAAGAGTCCAAACTGGTCTCATGGTATGAACTAAGCAGTGTATACTGTAATTGCCAGTGTATAAGCCACTACTTTTTTCCCCCACATTTCGGACTCCGCGGCTTATACACAGGAGCTGCCAATTTATGTACTTTTTATTTTAATATTTTATTTTTACAGGCGGCCGAGCTTCCTGCCGCCGAGTAACATTTTCTTTTGACACACCTGGACGCTCGTATAGCTGCCCAACACCCACCCCTCTTGAGGGCAGGTTTTTGTGACACAGAGTGAATGCCACAGGTACTCGTGACACCTCTTGCTCATGGTTCCAATTTTGCTACTAAATACCCATAATTCCACTCGGTCATCATGTGACCAGAACTCTAAGCTGAATGACCAATGAGGTACTCTCATTGAGTCACGAGGACCCATCCCCCAAGGTAGACATAAATTAATTAATAGAAATACTTCATAAATAAATTTTTTAAAAATTATTAATAGAAATTACAATAGTTTAGCTGTCACACAAAAGACGGCTTTATAATTAGCATTTTTTTGTTTCACCTTTATTTATTTTTTTGTTTGTACAACTCTGCCTCGGTTAAGAATGACTAAACTATTATCACTCTTAGGCTTGCTAAGATTCAATAATTTAACTTGACCTTGAAGAAATAATTTTCTAAAACAAACTTGCTGTGGCTTTCTGCGTTTCCATTCTTTTAAGACCTTTTTTAAGACACTTTAAAACCGAGACAAATCAGTTTTGCTGCAGTGTGGGACAGACATAAACTTCCAAATGCTTGTGGTTTACAACTGATTGCATTAAAGTTTGTCCAGTTTTGTAGGGATGCTGGACCTTTGACCAACTGGCTGTCTCAGGAAGTGAGGGGTCGCAGCAAACCCAAGCTCTGAAGCTGATGGAAGGGGGTGTTCATTGTTGCATAGGCCACATACTTTCACTACATTCACCGATGTTAGTATTAGTCATTCTATAACGGTATTTTAACTTCCTAGCAGGGTAGATAATGAAGGTTAGATCTGTAAGACTTTCAAACCAAGAGTTAGATACTTTGAACCCCCCCTTCCTTCCTGCTGCTGTTGCTTTGGGAAAAGCTGCAACTCCCTGAGCTGCAAGACAGAACCAACCCCCTTGGTCAAACTGTGCCTTTTCTTCTTATCCTACCTCGTCAGTAGAAACGCAAACAGTCGACCATCCGCCGGACATGCTGGACAGGCAGAAATGCCTCTCTGCCTTGGCGTCTCTTCGCCACGCCAAGTGGTTTCAGGTTTGCATTCACGTCCTTATTTGTACATAAGGTTGAACATTTTCCTTTAAATGATCTGACCTTTTGTTTTCTGTCATTCTAGAGACGATTGGCTATTTTAAATGTGGTTTGACATCTTAAGATGGCTAAATTTAAAAACTTGAAGGATGATGTGCTGTTCTGTACCAATGATGGAAGTGGGCATAGCGTTGGTATCAAAACCAGCATAGAACTGGAAGCTGAGCTCTTCCAGCTGAAGATGGCTCAATAGTTCTTAACTAGTCTGTACTTGCTTTGTTCTCAATCATTTCGTGGAAACTCAGAAAGCACATTAGAAAGGTCACATGAGAGGCGGCTGGCCTTCTGACTGAACTGGGTTTTATTTTGTTTTGTGTCCCAGGCGAAACTTATCGGTAAGCCTTCGATTGTCATTGTGCTCCGGATCTTGATGGATTTGTGTAGGCGAAATCCATCCATGACCCCCCTCTCTGGATGGGTGAGATACTTTTTCCTTCATAAAAAAGTATATTGGATCAAATTATCACATATTGTTGTCATTTTTGTATGTTTGAACAGTTACATGTTTTTATCAGTGATTTTCACATATGATAAAGGTTTTTGTCCTTGTTTGTCTGTAACATTATCAAAATATCTCATGGACCATTGGATAAAATTCAATGAATCTCTCAAAAGTATTCACTGGATGTAAATTTACAATTCTAACTTTTGTAGTCAACTCTATTCAAGATATCTGCCACAGCTACTCAACATTGGCCATCTCAAACATGTCTGTATCTCTGTCACATTTTTAGATGTTGGGCAAAAATTAGTTGTGGTAGTAGCTGAGAGTCATCCTCAACATATTATATAATGCTAACACATCTCATGAGATCTTTGAGATTACAAGGTTTGACCGAAGCAAGCATGACTCTGCCTCTCCTCTCGATGAGATGTTTTCAGATTAAATTGCAGCCCGACCGATATGAAAATTTTGGCTATCGCAGATATTGGGAGAAGAATACGACCACCGATGAACGATATAATGGCTGAAAATTTTTGAGCTTTGTCCACCCCCGAGCATCTAAGTAAAACGGCTACTTTTAAATCTGTTTTAACACTTGAAGTCTTCAAACAATCTTCCTAACGTGCGTTCACATTTTCTATCCACTATTCACCAATATTATTTTAAACAGTTTCAACATCAAAACACAGTATTGTTTGTTTGAGGGGTGGCGTCCCCTATAGGGGTGCGAATCTCTGTCTGGCAATCTGATTCGATTCCGATTTTTGGTGTCACGATACAATTCAAAATCGATTTTCCGATTCAGAAACGATTTTTCTATTGAAATGGTTATAAATTTTGTTTCAATTATATATGTAACTGACAAGTTGAAACGATTAAACAACAATGTAAACAAACAGAACATTTATTTAAAACAATAATTTTAGGTTCCTTACTGTGTCAAATCTTTTTGATTCATTTTATTTTTATACCAAAAATAGGAAAAAATATAGGAGTGTATAAAATTCTGTAACTTAAATTACCAGTATTAGGTTAGCTTAGTTGCCTGAATTAAAAAATAATATATATATATAATAAAATAAAAATCTAGGAACAAATAATTCATCCATCCATCATCTTTACCCACTTCTTCCTTAACGAGTCACTGGTATCACTGGTGCCCATATCCAGCCATCACTGTGTGAGAGACACCTGGACAGGTCTCCAGTCCATCAGACAAATAATTCACAATATATAAATATAAACGTAAACAGACTTCAGCCTACCAGTATATTAACTTTAACTCAAAATAAAATACCTACTTTAGTTATTTTTAGCCATATTGCTCTAACATTTGTTATATTTTCAAAACTTAACCTAATATGAAATATACAGACTTCACAGTCTATTGATTCATATTTAGTAAATCTTTAACAAAATTTCAAAACCTGTGCAAATCTGCACAAAAACCTCTGAACTGTAATTTATAAACCAAAATAAATTGTATAATTTAGAACTGGCTCCAGGTGATGTCTCATCTCTTCAACCTGTTAAAAAGACAAATTGCGTTAAGTTTGTTGTATAACTTGTCTATACGTTTTAGTATAATATGAGAAAAAACAGTTACCTTTGATCTGCATCAGAGCTTCTCCCATTTGTTGTTTCATTGTAAAGTTGTGGTGCTGCTTTATCGCAAAAAAAATTCTACATGAAGGAATAACGTACATTGAATCCAGCGTATTAAAAATAAATCTAAACCCCTCACCTTCCACTGAGCTGTTTGCTCATAAATCATTTGTGATACAGCAGGAGATGGAGAGGGAAATCTTCACAGCCTTTGGAGAAGACTGGAAGTTTGTTGCAGAGTTTGCTGTTCGGCTGTTTCGCTTTCATCTTCCGTGAATTTTGTTGTATTTACAAAATACTATACCGCAATTTTATTTTACGCTTCTTGTAAACAACCGTGCTCTTGCTAAGCTCTGTCTTCCCCCGGAACATTGTAGGATCTGAAATGATTTTTAAAGACGAAGCAGCGGGTTGAATCACGCTGTCTCCCTCCTCCATGCTAGCAGGCTCCATTCAGATAAAGGGAGCTGGCTAACTAGCTTGCTGTACGGTGGCCTACACGGCTCAATTCTACAGCGGCCGAACAGGGAGTAGGAGTGGAAAAAATATAAAACTTAAACGCATTTTAAAATCGATTTATGGACTTTTAGAAACTATTCAGAATCGCCAGGACTAAGAATCTATATCATCGAAAAATCGATTTTTTTTTTCTGCACCCCTAGTCCCCTACGTTTAACTTTTTTGACATGTCGCAGCATAACTTGTCTTAAATTAACTGAGAGAAATACAGAATACCTTAAGTACCGTATTTATTTGTGTATATTGCATACACCCCCCCCCCCCCCCAATTTTTAGCTTGAAAGCAAGTTTAAAGATTCTAATCCCATGTTTAATATTGCCCCTAATTTCTCACAAACCAGGATTTTTCAGCCTTTGTGGTCTGCACACGTGTCACTAAAATGATGGCTAATGCTAAAGCGCTAACTTTTGTCATACACTGCTGTCGCTGACACTGTAAGGCTGTCTTAATATAACAACGTTTAAGTGAATACAACTCAAAAACTGTTCATAAATCACAGGTGAAGAGTCCATGTCCCATTCACAGGTGAGCTTTCAGAAATTAATCCGGTCAGTCAGAACGAAAGAGGCGGAGCAGAACTCTGCTGTGCTGAAGCAGAGTGATGCATTCAAAGTGTGTCGGACGTCTCCCTCGTGTCATTTACTATAATGAATTAACTCCCTTTAGCGATTCTCTTTATGGTTAATTATTTTTTAAACTATAAAGTTGCTGTGCGTCATCATTAATGTTCTCTGACTTTGCATTATACATAAATAAATATGGTGGGTAATATTTTGGTATAAAACAGATTCTCTTTAGCTGCCCGCTTTTACACGTTTTGTGTGTGTGTTAATTCTATAAGTAGCGTTTGAATTGAAAACTTTAATACTTTTGATTTTTTTAATGTTTTTCTCCCTCATGTAGCTTCTTGAGCTGCTGGTAGAGAAGACTGTCAGTACATCTAAGAAAGAATTGGAAGTAGGCGAAGCCTTCCGCAGATTTTTGGAGTGCATCTCCTCTGGAATCGTCTTAGAAGGTGAGATTTATTGAGTTGTCAACAAAGAATGTTACTTTTAGCCCTGAATATACTAATATATATATAATTTTTTTAAAGGTTCGCCTGGTATTAAAGATCCGTGTGAGAGAGAAGACGTTGACGTCACCGCATTTCTGACTGAACAGCAACGTGAAACCATCACTCATTGCGGTCAGGTACAGTAAAAGCATGCAGACACAAATTACAACTATACAGTATTAGAAAATGACTGGATAACTTTTTTTGTGGGGGCTTTGCAGAACATGTTGAGGCTGTTTGCGTTTGGAAGAGTGCACATTGTGTTTGGACTGGACCGCAAATTCTTTAACCATTTAAGATATCTCTCTTCGGTGGCAGTCAACACCGCAGAGGGCCCAGGTAGATAAGATTCCTAGTATAGTCACTGCTTTTTAAGTCAAATGATCTCCTCTCATGCTCGTTTCTCTTGTTTCATACAGCTTACCTGTTACCTGCTGCTCCCTGCAACCGTTCAGCAAAGAGACCGTACTCTGAGGTGGAGGGACAAGGAAAGTCCAGTCACGGCTGCAAACTGCAAAAACTAAGCGGCACTAACGAGTGCCTGCCGAAGATATTATGTCAGTATTCTACCAGGATTGCATATCGACCTAAAGTGTTTTTATTTATTTATTTTTTCTCATCATTGTTCTGTGGGTTTTTTTCATACCGTCTCACTGCACATCTTGATTTGCAAATCACTTCAAAAATTACTACAAGGCAGTCCAAAGTGCTGTAAATAAAGCAAACGCCAGGGAGTGAAAGAAAGAAAGAATTTCAAAATATATAAAAAAGTTAAATCTGGTCCTCTGGACATTCAAAAAACAAAGCAAAACAACAACAAAAAGTAGAAACGTTTCGTCTTTCATCCGAGAGACTTCCTCAGTCTGAGGTGCTGTATTCAGCTCAGTCTCTTAAATAGCACCTTCTCAGAGTGGATCAACCAGTTTTGCTGCTGACAACCAAAACCAGCTGTTCACATGATCAAGAAGGACCATCAGCCTAACGATGGATCATTAGCATGGCTGGGATGGCTGATTCACAGGAGGCTGAGTGATACTAGCAATCACAGCATTGTAAGAGGGGGACAGTTGAACCCGGAGGCCTCCACCCCTGTTTAATGATGGACAATTTCTTTTCACAAAGATGGCCTCCTTTACTCCTCTCAAACCATTGTTCCTCTCTATCCAGGATGTGAACATCTTCATCCTTGAAAGAGTGACCGCTGGCCTGGAGATGAGTGTAGACCGCAGAATCCTGGCCTGATGATGTTGATCTTCTGTGCTGGGCCATCCTTTTGGCCAGTGACTGTTTAGTTTCCCCGATGTAAGACTGATCACCCTCCTGACACTGAACAGCATACACAACATTACTCTGTTTGTGCCGGGGGACTGGATCTTTGGTCCATTGTTAGGCTGATGGTCCTTCTTGATCATGTGATCAGCTGGTTTTGGTTGTCTGCAGCAAAACAGGTTGATCCACTCTGAGAAGGTGCTATTTATAAGACTGAGCTGAATACAGCACCTCAGACTGAGGAAGTCTTTCGGATGAAAGACGAAACGTTTCTACATTTTTTTGTTGTTGTTTTGCTTTGTTTTGTTTATTGAATATCCAGAGGACCAGATTTAACTTTTTTAGATTTTTCAACCTGGATTATTGAGCATGCATCAGGAAATTTTAAAATATATTTATTTGTCTACTGGAACTGAATGAAGAGAAGACAAAATTGGGAACGTGTCTTTTTTTATTTGTAGCAGTTCAGTGAAGCTGTGACATTTATAATCTGTTGTAAACAAACAGCCCAATTAATTCATAACAGAACCTGAGATGGTACAAAAAGCTTACAGTACTGCTTTAAGGTTTCTTTTAGACAGGATAGGCTTCATTATAAACAACCCCCCTCAACTGAAGGAAGCTGGATTTAACTCTCGAGTTTACATGGTTTAGTTTTAAACCCAAATCCATTTTTGCTGCCACATTTGCTTTAATGTTTCTCACGTCAGGGAGAGAAAAAAGGCAACCCTCTGACTGAAATGAGCCTATGGAAGGAGTTTGAGTATTCAAATTTGTGTTTGTCAACTTGATTGCATCTTAAGTAAAACATTTTTGAGTATTTGCTCCTCTTTAAAAACTGGGAATAAACGTTTTGAATGTATTAGTAAAATAAATCCTAATACGCATCAGGACAGCTTGTTTTATCCGATTTAGTTGAGGTTAAATTGAGGTTTTTGTGTTTTATTCTTTCTCCGTTTCTCTTGTAGTCTCAGAAGATCCAAACATAAACCCTGTGATGCGTTTAAACCATTACGCCCCCTCCCTGGATTACCGGCTCGTAGCCCAAACTGGGCCAACCTATGGGCCGATGTTTACGATGGCTGTGGCGGTAAACGGGAAGGTCTACCAAGCATTTGCACCGTCCAAAAAAACAGCCAAACATAAACTTGCAGCCAAGGCAAGAGTGGTTCATTTTTATCCACATGAGCTGATTTTTTTTTATGTCAACCAGCCCACATTCAAAGATGCATACAAAGCTTACAAGCACATCATTTGAACAATAAAATAATATTTTTTGTTGTTTTGCTAAGACAGTTTTGCCCAACGACATTGTGTCGCATTGAAAACAGATGTTAAGACATTTAACTGTCTAGCTGTAACTTTTTTCCCCATCTATAGGTTCTGCAAGATCTTGGTCTTCCAACAGGCAAGATAGTTGGAAATACGTCCAGATTTAATGCTCCTCGGCCCCAGAAATCAGCTGAAGGCGATTCCGAAACTTCGGATTCGGTGCGTACTTCTTCTGAAGTATTCTGTCTAAATCCTTATAAAAAAAAATCTAAATTAACCTTATAATATGTTTTGGGTTGCTATTGTAATATTTTTGATAATAAATGTTTTGTGACCAGAGTCGTCGGGTTCCAGTCTTAACAAAAAATGGCAAGAATCCCCTCGTGGAGCTGAACGAAAGGCGCCGTGGACTGAATTTTGAAGTGATCAAGCACAACAAGCACAAAGGATCCAACCTTCTAAAGTACTTCACTATACAGGTGAGTGAGCAGAAATACACGTCAGAAAACAAGCTGATAAAACAGTCTGAAGCGTTTAGCTTTTCTTTTCCCCTGCCTGTTTCTTAGGTGGAAGTCGATGGCCAGAAGTTTACTGGGATGGCGCTCGGTAAAAAGGAGGCGAAGGCCAAAGCTGCTCTTGCTGCTTTGGAAAAGCTGTTCCCAGACGACGGTAGCGCTTCAGATGATGGCAAAAATGTTGAAACCAAGAAGTCCAATGAAGTCGATAAAGACAAAAAAGTTTCCTCCACTGACACGGTACTTCATTCGCCAAACCATCCTCAAAATACTCATGTCGAGTTGACTTTACTATCAGAGCCGTATTGAACTCTTAAAAATTAATACTTTTTAAAAATTGTTTCCTGTTTTAACAGCAGGACCCAGGACTTGGCACAGTCCGTGGCATTCCATCAGATTCTGGAACACGTGGCTCGGGTCCCAACAGAGGGGGTCCCAACAGAGGGGGTCCCAACAGAGGGGGTCCCAACAGAGGGGGTCCCAACAGAAGGGATCCCAGCAGAGAGGGTCCCAGCAGAGAGGGTCCCAGCAGAGAGGGTCCCAGCAGAAGGGATCCTAGCAGAGAGGGTCCCAGCAGAGAGGGTCCCAACAGAAGGGATCCCAACAGAGAGGGTCTCAACAGAGAGGGTCCCAACAGAAGGGATCCCAACAGAGAGGGTCCTAACAGAGACGGTCCCAACAGATGGGGTCCCAACAGAGGGGATCCCAACAGAGGGGATCTCAACAGAGGGGGTCCCAACAGATGGGATCCCAACAGAGGGGGTCCTGGCAGGGGCCGTGGCGGACGTTTTCCCTCGAGAGCAAGTTATAACACGAGTAAGAAATGTTACACTAAACCATCTTCAAGCCTCGTCAATACAAGATCCAGATCCTATAAACAACTGCAACACGTGCAATGAGAAAGTTAACTGAATAATTTTCTTTTTATTTTAAAAGCCAACTACAACTATGAGGACAGCACCGGTGCAGGCTACAGTAAGTATATGAAAGTTCCCTCCCTCCACTATCTTGGTGTAGATATTTTATTTATTTTTAGTACAGAATAAATGATTTAAGAACTACGACCTCTCTAAAAATGTTATGTCACAACATAGCTTATTCTGTTTTGAAATTGTAAGAACTAAAACACATTTATGTGCATGTTTATGTATGTGTGTGTGTGCGTTTAAAATATTACATTATTTAAATTTAAATTATTTATTTACATAGAAGGAAGGAGACTGGGAAAACCAGCCACTAGAGAGCACAAGCCAGTGCATCTCTTGTGCTGGTCCCAAGCCTTCCCTCATTTTGACAGAGTGCTTTCCAGCAACTGTTTGCTCGGATCCGGCAACTCAAATCTCTGCCTCTAAAAGTCCAAAGTCATCGCACTTTTTTATTGCGATTTATTAAAAACACAAAGAGAGGAGACGTTGCCCAGTCTGTCGAGTGGATATTACAGCTGCAACAAGCGCAGCAGCTTGCGCACACGCTCCTGCCCAGCAGAGACACACGGACGGCATGTCCCACGGGGATGAAGCGTCTTCCTGTCTATGGCAAGCTAAAAAAAATATTAAGCTCAAACTAATTTTAAAAAATTGCACCTAAAGTACAAATAAAAGCTGTAAAACATAACCATTCATATTCAGTACCATGTAATGTCCGAACGCAGACCACAGCTGTCCAGTATCATTCTTTTCTCTTCACCTACCATAGTGTTGATGGGAAATATTGGAATAAGGGCGAGAGATATTTTGTTCTCTTCGTTAAGTTACGCAAAAAATATTTTCTAAAAGAAAATCTCTAGTAGGCAAACCCAAACAAGATCAAAAGCAAAAACAGAAGTAGGCAGGAAATGGTGTGAAACGACCACAGTAGCGCTGTTGTGACTCTCGAGGTATTTGCATCACAAGTGAATAGTTTTCGCAGCACTGACACTAAAGACTGATTTTACTGGTCTTTTTCAGATAAACAGTTGGGTAACAACATGGGAAACGCCACAGAAAAAAACACTGGAATGAGCCAACGGGGCGGCTTCGGCTCATTTTACCTCGAGAACACCTCCTCCTCCTTCGCCTCCCCGCTGGCTTCAGCCTCCAGCAGCATGTGTTCGATGCCTCCTCCTGTTGATCAGCAGAACCTGTACGGCTACAGAGAAGAGAAGATGATGCTGCCCCAAATTCAGAACCA